ATGAATTATGGATCAGGCGGTGTGGTCAAGAGGGAGGAATGATTAACATTAATACGTATGATAATAGTGACAATCAAAATGCTGATGGTGACGATGATGATAATAATGACATTAATGATAACCGAAATCCTATAATGTAAATATACTGCAACTACTACAACCGGTACCAATGATATGTTACTATCAGCGTTGTTGGTATTTTTACTATGATATATGACATCACACGCACACACATACACACACATATAAATGTGTATGTGAGTGTGTTTTTGTGTATACACAAACACAAACCAACGTATGTGGGTGTGTGAAGAAAGTAATTAGGTTAATCCTAATTTCATGGATGTAAATACTGAAGCACGTGGTCGTGGTTTGGAGTTATAAATACACATACACTCGTATATCTGTTTATATGGGTGTATATGTATATACACACACACACGCGCGCGCGCGCGCGAACGCACACACATGAGTGTGTGTATATATATGTATAAATATATATATATATATATATATATATATATATATATATATATATATATATATATACATGTATGTATATATACACATGCATATTATATATAAATACAATATATATATATATATATATATATATATATATATATATATATATATATATATATATATACACACACACACATACATACACACGTATACATACATGCATATCTATCTATCTATCTATCTATCTATCTATCTATCTATCTATCTATATATATATATATATATATATATATATATATATATATATATATATATATGTATATATATATGTATATATGTACTTATATGTGTGTGTGTACATATACATAATAAATACATACATGCATACACACACACACACACAATATATATATATATATATATATATATATATATATATATATATATATATATATATATATATATATATATATACTGTATACACATGTCACAATAACACAATAAAAAAAGACGAACATAGGGGGAAAGAGAAAGAGGAAAAAAAGGAGAGGAGAGACAGAGAACCCCAGAGCACCTCCATACATCTCCCCGTGCAGCTCAATAAATCCTATCCCATGTGTAACAGTGAGCGTCCACGCCGCCGACGCTATAACGGTTTCGCTCGAGGCTGGGGTCGGCGGGTACACGTAGGCCTATGCCAACGCATACCGCAACAGGCAGCTGAGACCCTGGACCCCCCCCCCCCCCCGTCCTTGCCCTTCATATTTCCCTCCCTAACTCCTCCCCATCTTTCCTCCTCTCCCTACCCCTCCCCTTCTCCTCCCTACCCTACCCCCCGCCCCCTCAACTCACGTGGTTCCTTCCCGCCGAAGAATATATCAGAGAAAGCAATGTGAGGGACGCGAGAGAAGCGAGTTAAGAAGATATGCTGATGAATGAGAGAGAGAGAGAGAGAGAGAGAGAGAGAGAGAGAGAGAGAGAGAGAGAGAGAGAGAGAGAGAGAGAGAGAGAGAGAGAGAGAGAGAGAGAGAGAGGGGGGGGGGCAGAAGGAAAAATGAGGAAGGGAATGGGAAACAAATGGCATGGGAGAGTAACAAGAAGGAAGGAGGAGGGGAAGGAGGGGGAACAAGAGAGGAAGAAAGAGGAGACAGTAAGAGAGAGAGAGAGAGAGAGAGGGGGCGGGGTACGAGGGGGGAGGGGAAGGGGAAGAAGGAAAAAGGGAAAGGGAGAGAAAGAGAGAGAGAGAGAGAGAGAGAGAGAGAGAGAGAGAGAGAGAGAGAGAGAGAGAGAGAGAGAGAGAGAGAGAGAGAATTAGAGAGAGGGAGAGCAAGAGAAAGATGGACTTTGTCTTTATGGAAATAACTTTGCATGTTTTATAATTTTTTAAGTTATTGTAGTGTTAGCGCAAGATTTTTCAAAGGGTTAATGAACTTATTTCTTTAACCAGATGATTTTAACATTTTGATGTTTCATTTTAGTTTCTGCTATGATATAAAATCATCATAGATATGGAATGAAAATATTTAATATCTGAAAAAAAAATCCTTCCCCCTCTTTCAAGAAAATGTTACTGATTTACATATAAATATTGAAGCTTATAAATATAATATAAGCAAAAGGGGTGTGATATTAGTACCTCAAGAATATATCAGCTGAAAAATACCGTGATAGAATATATATCTATTTCATCCTTGAAATATATGTTCTAAACCCAAGAAGTATTCAAGAAAATAGTTCAATGCATTTCAAGCATTCCTTGTTTTTAAAGTATCAAAATCTTTAATAACACAAAGAACCAAAAAGTCTAGTTAAATCTCCAAAATAATTGATCCTATACACTGAATACGTGTTAGAGAATTTTAAAAAGTATAAAAGACAATGCACTGTATCACAATGCAAGATGAATAACATTCTAATACCCACATTTTCATCAGAATTATGTAATTCTGATGTAAATGGAACTTTACTTTAACATTTGAATAGTTCATTATATAGTGAGAAAGGCATATAAAAAAAAATGCATAAATTACATAGTAATATATAATTTCAAAGAGTCCATATGGAATTAGGAAATCACACACAAAGCTGATCTTTTCATATTAATTGAAGTTAATTCATCTTAAGTAAAATAATTTCCCTAAATCAGGACTACTCAACTGATGGGCTGTGGTCAGAATCCGGACCTTCTGAGTGTTGTAGCAGGACCCCAGGCTCCAGGAGGAGAAAAGTATAATTAAATAAAATGAAGGTCCAGGTGATAGATTCCTGAAAGTGTATTTCCTCGACTGACTGTAGGGTAAGTTAGGGGACATATGGGAACACTATGCAGCATTCAGATTGGTGGTTTTATTGCATGTAAAATATTTATCTGGACCTCTGCATATAGTGGACTTTGTCTAACTGGACCTCTGCTCATAACAGTTGAGTAGCCCTGCCCTAAATAAATAATGAAAATATATTCAATAACATTAAATAGTTTTCTATAAAATAGTTATTATGTCTTTTTTTCTCACCTGAGTATTTGCAAAGGTATTGAGCAGACATTACCATCCTCCATATAAAATAAATGAATTTCAGCAAGTCAACAAATGGGCAGACCATCCTTCAGTCACACAAGAGACAAATTATACACCTCTCTCTCATAACATCTGCACTGAAGTACGCTGAACTTTGTACATTCAAAGACCAACCAACATGAGAAACAACCCAAATGCAATGCATAAAAATTTCACGTTGATAATTCTTTCCCAAGGAACTCTGTCTCTTTATTTCCCATCATTTCTTTTTCATCTTCTTCTTCTGATTTTGCTCTTCACTTTCATCATTCTTAAGGCTGTCAAATTTCTTGAGGTCAGCACTGAAGAGGACCTTAAAAGAAACAACAAAAAGAAATAAGAGCTCACTTTGAAAACACTTGATTCCACGAAGAAAAGTTTTTTTTTAACTATTCCTTTTGTATTCATATATATACATATTCAACTGTCTATGTCATTTAAAATCTATGAATTACAGTCTCCTATAAATATGAATATGAAGTGAAAAAGCATAATGTGTAATAATGAAAAATACTACAAAATTCAATGATAACAATGTGAAAATACAAAAACAACAATAATAACAACAATAATAAATTAATTAAAATTACATTGAACTACTAAAAAGTACGATCAACAAAATTCTACAAAAATGTCTTCCTTACCGAGTGTGCCCAACCAGCATATTCCCCAAAGATTTGCCGGAAGTGGTTGGCAATTTCCTTATATACCTTGTCTGTGACTGTCTTGCAAGAACGCAGGTGTGGGAGGTAATCACGCGCGGCAATTTGGAATACGTGTGTGTCCACAGGGATGGCCCCAAGATGACCCATGGACATGAGGCAGATGCAGTCACTTACCTGAAAATGTAGCAAGGAAGCAAGGGATGAGAGGGGAGGGAGAGGGAGGGGGAGGGGAGGAGGGAGGGAAAGAGGGAGAGAGGGAGGGAAAGGGAGGGAGAGGGGGGAGAGGGAGGGAGAGAGGGAGAGGAGAGACAGAGAGAGACAGAGAGACAGAGAGAGAGAGAGAGAGAGAGAGAGAGAGAGAGAGAGAGAGAGAGAGAGAGAGAGAGAGAGAGAGAGAGAGAGAGAGAGAGAGAGAGAGAGAGAGAGAGAGAGAGAGAGAGAGAGAGAGAGAGAGAGAGAGAGAGAGAGAGAGAGAGAGAGAAAGAATGAAAGAAAAAAAAGAGAAAGAGAGAGTGAAAGAGAGAAAGTATATACTAATCTTAACTCTTTCTACAAAATACTGGACATTGTACCAAAGAGCTGACATTGTAACACATCATATGACCAAACAAACTGTCACTCATCAGCTGAAAAAAATTCCTCTTACTTTAGCTCCAATACCATTCAGAGTCATGAGCTGTGCATGGCACTCATCATAAGGCAACTTTCGCAAGGAGAACAGCCACTCTTCACCTCCCTTTTCCAGGATCATCTGTGCTGATTTGCTGATGAACTTTGCCCTGTTAAAAGCAAATCTCAGTTGAAAATAAATCTCCAAATATTATAGAATATAATGTTCAGTAAATAAATTGGGGAAACAAATATGTCACTCCTGGTGATAGTATAAAAAAAAGTTAAATAAATATGGTGCAAAAGAAGAAGAGCAAGAAGAGAAGAAGGAGAATTATAAAGAAGAGGAGGGGATGGAGAAGGAGGGGGAGAGCATAAAGGAGACAAGAGAGGGGAAGGAAAAAGAGAGATAAAGAAAATGAAAGAAAGAAAGGAAAGAGAGAGAGAGAGAGAGAGAGAGAGAGAGAGAGAGGAGAGGAGAGGAGAGGAGAGGAGAGGGAGAGGGAGAGGAGAGGGAGAGGGAGAGGGAGAGAGAGAGGGAGAGGGAGAGGGAGAGAGAGAGAGAGAGAGAGAGAGAGAGAGAGAGAGAGAGAGAGAGAGAGAGAGAGAGAGAGAGAGAGAGAGAGAGAGAGAGAGAGAGAGAGAGAGAGAGGGAGAGAGAGAGAGAGAGAGGGAGAGAGAGAGAGAGAGAGGGAGAGAGAGAGAG